GTCAAACAAATAATGCTATTTTTCTACACACGAGGAGTCTTGATCATCAAATTAACTGTAAGTCAGCCAATATAAAAACCTAGAATTTATGTCAAAAGAAATATTGTGGAAGGTTCGTTAAACAATTACAAGTATTTTACACAGAGAAATATGTGTTCAAAACATAATTCTAATATATATGTTAGGCATTTTCGATAGACTGGTACAGTCTGATTGTATTGTTTTATAAATTCACCTTAAAAATAGAAAAGACAAAACCTATGTCTACAACATTTCAACCTTAGAAGTTTTAAACAAACGTCAAAAGAAATACGACTGTATACCAGAATATTTATTCATTTTAGTTTCAAGATGTTTAATTAATAAGGATTCCTTGATTTTGCGGCAGTTTATTTTATTTTTTCTCTTATTAAGAATTTCAACATTGTCATATTGAAACGAATGACCATGCTTGGACATACGTTTATAAACATGGGAGGGTTTGTTATGTTCTTTAACTTGTCTATGAGTTTCTCCAATCTAAAACGTATCGAATTGTATACACTTTATTTAATACACGGAATCAGAGGTATTAGAATCTTGATTGTTTTATGGAAGTTGTTCTAGTTTTCAGTCAGGTGTGAAAAGAACTTTTCAATCGATGAGGAATCATTGACGCCAGCAAATATATCATCATATCTCAACAGAAAATTGGTGGATGAAGGTACGTGGAAATAGCTTGATCATCATTTTGATCACGAATAGGTTTGCGAAAACAGGAGCAATGAGATTTCCCACGCTTAATCCTTCGATCTGGTCATAATAGAGGCCTTCTAACTGGAAGTTGTTGCAGGAAGTGGTGAAATGGGGACAATTTATCAGAATTTCACAAGAAAATAAAAAATGAGGAAAAGGGTCGTTTATGAAACAAGCAAGGGTACAATTCGTTGGTTTAGAAACAGGTACTTATGTGAACAAGCTTTTCACGTCGAAACAATTTTTCTTTTAACATAATTTTTAGTTTTATACATTGCTTTTGCTAATTTTATGATTAAGATTCCTCAAGTGTAGAAAAGCAAATTAATTGTTTGACTACTTTCAACATCTTTTTAGCCTCGACATAGTGGCTCATAGAATGATTCCGAATATTTTAACTACAAACTTTTAGCTCATAACTCCGTCATCTCCTCGACCGATTTGAGATCTAACTACAGTTTTGAACTCAGGAGGTCAAACCCTTTCGATTAATGTATTTGACCACGCCCAATGTCTCATAGATTAATTTACTCTAATCCTGCATAAAAGAATTCCAATTTGAGATTAGGCTAGTAGAGATCCTGATGAGTAATAAATTGAAATCGGGCATACGTGCGACTCATGCTTGGTATTGATGTCATACAAAAATATTGTTAATAAAAAAGAAAAAAAACGGTCTCATAGATTAATATACTCTAATCCTACCGGAGAGAATTTCAAGTGCCGCGGTTATTGAGAATTCCCTCTTGTTTATGTTCTGCACGTCCTGGTAAACTCAATCAGTCAAATATCAATGTATCCATCCGCTAGTTTTCGTGTTATCTAGATTGAGAGTTCACTCGTATTTCTTGTACCTAATGATGCCAGATTTACGAGGTGAAAGTTGTAACCGTATATATTATATCCTGTGAAGCCGATAATAAATAGCTTTAAAGTCATATATAATCAAACACTTCCTTCCATTATTTATATGGGTAAAATATTTTGCGCACATGCGAAAAATATCGCGAGAGGTAAATTCCAATTGTTTATGGAAATGACAATAGAGGGCGCCATCAACTTTGCCACTATTATTTTCGACTACTCCATCTATCCTGACAATGGTACTTGATATTGTAGCACATAAGATCTTACTAGGAATCGCCTATCCTGACAATCAAATTGAAAATTGTAGCAAATAACAACTCCCCAAGAATCGCCTGATTCTCTGTTTCAATGACGTTCTTTGAAATGGTTACTGTATTATATCATAAAGCCTTACTTACAACTAACTCAGCACCAATGAGATTCGGGAACCGTGTTGAGCTCTCTTCTTACCAATAGCTACGAGATAATAATCTAACTAAGGTCCTTCAAAACAAATTTATTGTACAGACTAAGTTGATTTATAATAAAACAACAAAGTTGGGTAATACTGTAAGTATTACAAATCTTTGGAAAATGCTGGTACCAAGATCACATAGTTTAACAAGAAGTATCTAACTCCATGTTCGGTCATCCTTGGTGAATGTTAAGTTTTCTTCTTAGTTCCGATTTGTACGAACACTTACTTTAGAAAAACACTACTAAAACATTTTCTAAAAAATGTTAGGGTGCAACCGTAATCCGTTTAAATATAGGATTGTGTATATTTATATAATTTGCAATTACTTATATACATATCTAACAAGAGTTAATTTTGAATCTACAAAATCATATTAAATCTGGTTTCCTTAATTAAGTAAATGATATTATAATTATAAATTGCATGAAGATGATTGATTTAATGAATACATCGCCATCTGTCGACACCTTTTTATAAGATTCCTTTAATCAAAATACCTTATACTAAAACAACTTGCACAGGTACACGTTATTTTGTTTAATATTTTTATGACATTTTTTATATTTTGGTAGATAATTTACGTTCTCCCAAAACAACTTTTAAGACAACTTCCTGTACTTCACTTTCTAAAGTTCTAAAAAAAAACTTATTGCTTGAGGATATGAACAGCCCTTTTTGAGAAAGTACATTCGCATAGTAGATTCAAAGGTAATATTGCCGTACCACATGAAAACGATAAAAAACAACATTTATTTATAACAATAATGGGCTTCGAAGCTAAACTCTAAGTCAATCCTGAGTAAAGCCCGCATCCATAAAATGAAAGCCATAATTACAAAAGAAAATCTTCTGACCCAAAAAGCCATCGTGATAAAGCTGGGCATATCTACTAGTACAGTTAACAAGATAATAAACATGGATTTGAAGTTGGCGAAGACTAGCAAGCTTTCAACCTCAAAATCATCGGCTGTTCTGGCGAGAAAGATTGGTATAAGCACTGAAACTACAGAAATCCCATTTGACAAGATACATGTCCAGCCCATCGATACAGCTCCAATGGACTTGCCTTTATTCTGTAACAACAAGGTTTCAGAGGACGAACATGCGCACTACGAAAGGTGTGAGGAAGGCTTTTCATTATGTGCAATGTAAGACTGATTTTCCATACTTTGCAGAAGCTTGTTACAGTGGAAACTGCGGTATAGAACATTAGTGCGTATTCATAGGTATCAAACTAGTTAATAAGGTTAACACATCGTATTTATAAAGTGCAGTTAACCTCGGTAGTAAGAAACATTAATCACCGTCGTTGTCAAAGCAATTCACTGAGAAACACGGTATGTAGTGTCTTGCACAATTAATGCAATATTTAATTATAACGTAGCAATATTTGCTTAAAAGTATAAAAATTACAGTTCCAAGTTGTGTGCAGAGTGAAAACATACTTCTGCAGAAATCATTAATAAATGGAACAAAAACAAACACAAACATAAATACAATACACGAGCGATAAAATTAACCTGAAAAAACTATGTGAAATAATCACTATACTAAGCACGAGAAAAAAAATCACGTTTTTATTTACTGTGATTTCATTTTACCCATTTTTGGTTTAGTTTATTTCGTTTTACTAAAATCCCTAACGATAGTTATATTTTTACTTTAAAACAGCTATTTACAGTGAGAAACCCCTATTCTGAACAGAAACACATCAATTCTGAGATAATCTTTTGACAACTACAAACAGACTCAAAATACAATTCATCAATGTTTTTTTTTTCAAAACTTAATTATTGTTCAGTCTAAAGTAATAAAAGTAAGAAAATAATATTTCACTAATACTAAAGATGGTATTAAACTTCCAAATACTCCAAAACATTTTATTCAAATTCTCAAACTTTCGCGAAGCTGGCTTCCTCAGATTCTGTTCTCTATGTGATGATAACTGAGCGAGCCACTTTAGGAACCATCATAGTGAAATTTAGATAATAAAATGTTCTAGTGTAACTTGTAGATTGACATGTACTTTAGAAAGCGTTCTACATGACCCTGGAAACATCAAAATACATTAATATATTTTACTGTTATTGTGTTCCATGCGATACAAATCAAAACTACAGCTGCAATAAAAGGAGTGACTTTAGTCAACTCAAACCGGGTGAAAACAATGTTTTCTTGATCTATTAACGCATATTTTCTTAGATGTATAGAATTAAAATGTGTATAATATGTGCTTAAAATATACTCAAATAGAGATTCCATAAAGCAAGTATACTACAGTAACTGTCTGACAAAAGCGTTATTTAAAGAGCCTGATGGGATCAGAAGGAGGCTCCAAACAGTAGTTTGTTTCAAACATTTCTAGCCAGTCCACATTAACACATATACACAGCATAGAGCCTCCATCTGAAGTGGGGAGCCTATGGGAGTTTAATCTTCTTTCCTCCCATTCTAGCCTTTTGTAAAATGATGCTCCTGATGTCTGAACAATTAATTTGTAAACAAAAAACAACTCTGGACCTTTAAGTCTCCAGAACTACAAGTTTATATTATCATTAAATGCAAATAACCACATGAACTATGTAGTTTCAGCTAATTAGTTGTGTTTTTTATGTGTCAAGTAACCCACATCATGTTTTGTATTGATTTGTCAAAAAACCTGAATCAAGGGTTTTGTTGATGTACCAACTGACATGTGTCAGTTTCAATTAATGTGTTGGTTGATCTGTCTTACATAATTTATTTAATGCATTAATTAACCTATGTCAAGTACTGTTTCATGTGGTTTAAGATTTGACTAAAATCATGTTGTTTTATTAAGGTAGGTGTCAAATGATAATTTGTATGGTTTATGATCAAAGATTAAAATTGCAATTACCTGTTAATATAAGTGTTACATATTTAAATATGAAAAGATTTAAATCAACAGCAACTTCATGCATTACCTTAGACATTTTTTATGTACTTTTACTGATAAACAAATCTTACATTTTCATTAGGTTTTCAAAACTAGTCTTGTGGTAACCACACAAAAACCTATATTTTTTCATAAAATTCACATTTTCAGTTACATTGTGTTGGTACAAATGGGAATTTCAACAAGAAGAGCCCAAATGTTGCTGTGATGGGCACAACACTGTTCAGATATCCACAAGTGTTTAAAATTTTTTTTTCCCACTTTCACTTCTTCCTCTTCTTGACGGATGGTCGTTCAAACATCTGCTTCATCCCACCTGCTTGGTTGGTGTGAAATTTCACATTCTGTGCTGTTTCTGATATCCAAGGAGAGTCGAAATGGGTGGTATCCTGGTCAACAAGATGTGTGTATTTTGTACGACCAGATCTCCCAAAGTTCTTAACCTTGATTGGAAAATAGAAGGCATGATTTAAATATTACGTTACAGTTTTTCCTATCAAACATACCTGTATTCACAAAACACACAAAGGTTTTCCTTAGTACACCTTAAAACTGAAGTAATTTGATATGTTAAGTATATATGCATTTGTGTGTTAAATGTATACAAAATTTAGAATATATTAATCTAAATTTAATTCCAGCAATGCTAAAATACTGAATCTAAATAAAAATTTGTATTATCTCTGTTTTTCTTTATGTGAATACAAAAGAACTAAAAACAAAACCTATTCAATTTTCAGGTGAAACAACTAAATTAAGCAGTGAGTTTTTGAGAATCAACATTAAAAGAACACATACTTGCATAACTTTAGGCAGAACAGTTTTGTTGAAGTGATCCTCCAGTGTTGGAGCAGAAAAGTCTTGTTTCAGTACTTCCTCTTCCTCATTCTAAAACAAACACAGGAAACATTCAAACTTGCAAAAAAATCTATATTAAATGATATATTCTACCTAGTACTCTTAAAGCACAAAAAAACACCATAAATAATTGTTTTATTTATAGTTTAAGATGACAATTACATTACATATAGGGTTATTATGAATAAAGAAAAACCCCATATTTCCAAATATTATATACCTTTACTGGGGAAACTAAATATCACCAGAAACACATTGAGAATCATTACATTTATTAAGTATTTAGTAAGGGTTTAATAACTCATCATCAATAACCTCAAATACTTTAGATATTTGGAAATTTAGGTAATTAATGATGATTAAAATACTTTATATCAATTCCTACAAACTGCTTGTATTCCATCACTACAAAAGGCCTGTTATACTTTATTGATATGTTCTTCCAAGCAGTATTGAGACGTTGGTGATATCAAGTCTACCACAGAGAGAGTAGAAAAAACAATGAATGGATTGTGCCTCTACGTCATTCACCGATTCTCTTCTTCAGTGAAGTTACACATTAGTGAGGAAAATAAGAATTTCCAATTAATTTATCAATATACTTTCAGTCATTCTCAATCAGCAGATGAAACTTATTCCTCAATAAAACTGTCCTGGACAGTATTTGTTGATCCTTGTAATATCCTATAAACTGACACACGTTTTATTTAAATCAGCAATCTCATACTGTATACTCTAAACATTTTTAAACAATTAAAGTTAGAGAAAACTTGGGCTTGGATCCAAAGTATAACAAAACAAACTTAAAAATCTCATGGTGATAATATTTATAAAGAAGCTGGTATTTTCCTTTGATGAATTTGTTGGTAACCAAAACTAGCACTTCAAATACATTGTTGACTGGCTGTATATCCAGTCAAGTAGATGAGGTCTGGTACTGAATGAAAGACCTCCTAGACAATGAGTTGTGAAAAACAAAAGATAGATCTGAATTTTTTTTTCAGACATTTCTGATTGGATATCTGCAAAGGATTAATTAAGAAAAAGGCAAAGAAAAAATATCTGCAGCCAAACATACCTTTAATCACTTTTCTTAAGGCTTAAGAAAAGTTAAGGATATATGTAGTTAGATATAATAATTGATAGTAAAATTTTCATGATAATGCTTACAAATGAAGCAAACAATGAAAATGGTGCTTACCAAATAGAAAGCTCCACGATGATAATATTTTTGAAGAAACTGGTATTTCCCTTTCACAGGCTTGTTGGTAATCACACGGGGCATATTTCTAAGTTCTGTTCTTCTCTTTTCTTCAGGCATGATACGAATTCGCTCAATTTCTAATCGTTCTTTCTCATACCTAGGAGCAAAAATTAAACTTAAATATATCTATAAAAATCATTAGAAATATAAATAAAGGCAAAATACCATCTTACATTACCATAACAAGTATTAATCTACACAAAATACAGTCTTACATTACCATAACAAGTACTAATCTACACAAAATACAGTCTTACATTACCATAACAAGTACTAATCTACACAAAATACAGTCTTACATTACCATTACAAGTATTAATCTACACAAAATACCATCTTACATTACCATTACAAGTATTAATCTACACAAAATAGTCTTACATTACCATTACAAGTATTAATCTACACAAAATACCATCTTACATTACCATTACAAGTATTAATCTACACAAAATACAGTCTTACATTACCATTACAAGTATTAATCTACACAAAATACAGTCTTACCTTAACATTACAAGTATTAATCAACACAAAATACAGTCTTACCTTACCATTACAAGTATTAATCTACACAAAATAATTTATTCTAAGAATAACTGTAAAATTATAAATCAAACAACTGACAGAATATAATAAAAACTTTTTTATAAAACAGTTTTTATTCCATGAAATTTTGTCTAAAGTAATTTAATCTAGAACTTACTTCTAAAGCTATTGTTGAACTGTAGAATATCCAGATTTCATTAATGCTGTTGACAAGTAATATGTTGATATTGGTATTTTTCATTCTGACCAATACCTTGTGTATAACAAATGGGCTAAATCCCCAGGTCAAAGACCCCCAGGATTCAGGCATAGCTATCTCTAATTGAGAGTTACTGACCAGAAGGATAACAACTAGTCAGTATCACCAACTGCCTACATGGCTATTCTATTCTTAACAAAATAGCAAGATTGACTGTCACTGTTATAACTACTGTAAAGTTTAAAATGCAGAAAATCTTGGCTGTACTATATATCCAAGTTATATTAAAGCTGTTGACTAGTTGTATAATATCTAGATAACATAAACTCCCATTAATAACCTATAAAATAACAGGGTTGTATTAAAGTTTTATTGTAGAATTTTCATCTTCACCAAAGTTACAGTTCAAAATTGTAATTTGTTGTTTTTACTTACTGAACACAACTAATGTAAATGTTATTGTGACAAGTAATACATACCCTTCTCTTTCTTCTTTGTCTCTTTTGATTCGTTTTAGTTCTCTCAGTTTCCATGATTCATAAGCAGCTTCATCATTCTCATCATCTGTATTTACAGTCAGGGCAGGGTCTTCTTGTTTAACAGTACCCATAATTTCTTTCCTGTTTTCATCTTCTATAATCTTTAATAGATTAGCATCCATAAAGTTAACTTGCTTTGCTTAACAATGTGCTGCAAATTTGATAATGTTTAAATGATATGATGAACATTGTTTCAGAATATTTAAATGATATGATGAACATCGTTTGATAATATTTAAATGATATAATGAACATCATTTGATAATGTTTAAATGATATGATGAACATCGTTTAATAATATTTAAATATGATGAACATCATTTGATAATATTTAAATGATATGATGAACATCATTTAATAATGTTTAAATGATATGATGAACATCGTTTCAGAATATTTTGATCATCTGTAAGAATTAGATGATTTTTTTGTAATATACATCACAAAAATCTGTTTACAAGCAACTTTATGAAGCCTAAGGTAATTTAAATCACCTCAGTCAGAAATCTACACACACACACATTTACCAAGACTGTAGGCATCTATTATACAGACAGAAACGTTACATAACTCTCAGTTCTTTGCTTCACTTTTCAAGCTACTCATACTTCCAATGAAAATAGAGCATACCTTTAACGTTTGTCTACGCCTATCCTCATTCATACGCTTCACTTCCAACTCCAGTTCCTTTTGTTTATGTACTTCTCTCTCTCGCTCCTGAATAGTAACACGGTCTTTTCTACATTTTTAAATGGAAACAAGTATATAAATTGTCTTCTTAAGACCTTACATTAAGGAATTTTTACATGCAATTCTAAATTAGTAAAAAAACAATTTTTCACAAACATACATTTACCTGTTGAGATGAAATAAAAGTTAGTGTTAACTTATGATGCATTTTTAAACTTCACTTTGACTGAGACTCAACTTGCAGTCGTGAAAAATGCTATTGATACCACTGTTCTAAAAAACAATTATTTTACTTAGAAAGTACCCCAATGGGACAGCAGTAAGTCTTTGGATTTACAACACTAAAATCAGGGGTTCGATTCAACTGGGTGAGCACAGCAGATAGCTCAAAGTGGCTTTGCTATAACAACACACACACAAGCACACATTTTACATAGAAAATTGTTGGTAGTTTTAATAATCTTCATAGCCATTACAATTACACTTTAAACAATTACAACAACAGTAAACTTTTTTGATTTTTAAAATAATTATTCTTATGCCTATAAGAACTTTCATTTTTTTTAGATTACAAGTATTAAAAACATATGCAACATAAGAAACATACACCTTATAAGATGCCAGTTGAAGAAACCACTCAAATTATATCTATAGACAATATGGGAACAATTTCACTATTCCAACAAAAACACTTACTTCCTGACAAACACAGGCTTAAGTCTTGGTCCTGTTTCTTCTTCAGAATCAGAATATTCTTCATATTCAGACTCTTCTGATTCTTCTACTTCTGACCTCCCCTCATCTTCAACATCCATCAATTCCTGAATATGTATGTTGATGGTTATTTTTATACTACATACAGCCCAATACAGTTTCTCCACTTTTGGAAATGTAATTATAATTAAACAAAGTGACTCCATCACACACACACACAAACAAAATGATTAAATAGTAAATTTGGAAAATGTTGAAAATACTTACATATTTTAATTCTGAGATCTTAGACTTCCTCAGTATATAAATAAGGTATAAAAAACAGTCTAACTCCATTTTCATTCATTAGATTTTACTAATAGAGAAAAATTTAGGATTGTTATTGTCTACACACATAATCAACTAGATATGAAACTTACAACTAGTAGTAATCTTCCCAAATAAAAGTAAACTATTAAGCAACTCAGTTATATACTTGATAACATATAAAACGACTTACTTCTTCTTGCTCAACTCTTTCCTTAGCTTTCTGCCTTAAGAGTATTCTTCTTCTCTCTATTTCCTTAAAAACAAAAAGGAACAAAAGTTCTTACACAATAAGCACACTGTTTTACTAATCTGTTAACATCAAGTTAAAGTTTTTATACAATTAGATAAATGCACTTTACATATTCAGTATACTTAATTATTTCTGAACCATTATATGAGCCTAATAAAGATAAAAATTTATATAAACATATTACAAAAAATACTAAAGATAATGTCTTTATACAATAATGAAAAGTACCAGTAAAATACAGAGGGTTAAGTACTTTATATTAAAACAATTTTGAATATGTATATCAGCAAGTCATGTAACAACCACAATCAATATAAGAATCTATCTAGAATATCAAAGATGGGGATATCCCATGTACTTAAATGCAATAGAAAACAAAGGAATGTGGATCAACTTGGGGAACCAGGATCATCCCGAAAAAGACTCCCAACAAGTTATACCTCAGTCATGGTAAGCAAAGTGTGATGTCTCATAACTGGTGCAAATCCACAAACATTAAGGTTAGTGGCAAAAGTCATCAAGAAGGATCATAATCAAGAAGAATCTCCATCTGGAAAAGCAACACAAGTAGCTTCAATGATATAATTGCTCATCCATCACATACATCAAGCAGCTGAAGAATGAAATGGGTATTCATCCTATTTCCTACAAAGACATACTGGTCAAATCACCAGATGAAGTGCACATAGATTTATATGTGATTGGACTGTTGAAATGAGTGCTGTGAAGCCATCATCCTCTTCACTAGATGGAATATGGAAAGCCTATAGAGAGGGGTGGTGTGGTGTGAAAATGATAACCTTAAAATGGGGCCTTTTGCACTGGAAACTATGCTGCAGGTATGTTGTCAAGATGCACAGTCACTGGAAAGAACATGACTAAATATGGTGAGGTGGCCTGTACCAATGTGACAATATAATGTACACAACAGCTGTATAACTGATAAACATTGTTTACATTATTATTGGAAGGTATAATTTTACATTACAAAAATAAAAATCCTTTTTATTTATTCCCTTCATACTTCACCACAAGATACTTGATGCACTAATATAGTAAACACTGAAAAAGTTAACTTGACAAATGAATTTTCATTTCATCACTATTTTACAACTATGTTCCTAAAGAGCACATTTCATGCTTTATGTATATTAAAGTAACACAAAATAGCTTTAAAGAACAAAAATAATCAAGTTAGCTGAATGATTCAAAAGATCTTGAAAGTTTGAAATGCTTATAAAAAGACAGAATGTTTTAGCTCCTTTGTGACTATCAACCATAAAATGCATACTGACAAATTCCAGTAATACAATGAAATGTAATTACCAACCTCTTCATCCAATTCTTCTTCATCACTGCTTTCTTCTTCATCACGCCACCGTATTGTAGGCTCTTTCAGCTCACCAGCTTCTTCATTTTGATCTCCTGTTGCTATTACTTCAGGTTCGTGTATCTGACGATGACGCTCAATCCTACAATTAGAAACATAGTTCAAACTCTAACACTTGAAAGATTAAAAAATCATTATTCAAAAATAATATAAATTATACTTCAGTACAACAAATAATGATATACAAAAGAGAAAACTAAAATGGTACTTTTGCACATCTTTCATTTGAAATTCATAACTGACTACAAGAGCTGTAAACTTTACAGTGTAACATAACAATTCATTTTATGAGTTTATAAAGTATTACTTGCTTTTCCAGTTCAGTAATTTGATATAATATGTAACACTAAACTGACAATTCTAAAATAAAAGTCTTATGAGGCAATACAACTTAACACTTATAACCATAGCCCATTAATGTACTGTATTATACAGTATACAAAATGTAATCACATGCTCAAAATCTCTCTTATTACAGCATTACTTTTCCATTACGATAAGTTACAGTTAACCATAAAATATACATCATATTAAGTAATAATATAATATTCTCAGTACAATTACTGTTTATAGTAACATGAAATGCCTTCCTATTTTTTCAATAATTTTCATAACCTTTCTTAATATTCTATTGTTATGGCTCTCTTCTCTAACAACTTTAAACCCTTTTACATTAAACTTTTTTCATTATTATGCTAATATATTAGCACTAGCTTTCTACATTTCATTATGCCACTAAAATTTTTAGGAATCTTTTAAGTACCTTTCTTCTTCATCTTCTTCCTGTTCTCTTCTCTGCAATCTTCTCAACCTAGGATCATGTTTTTCTGCTTCTTCATCCACTTCTGGAGGCTCAGGAACAACAGCCTGTTGGCCTCGTTCGAAAGGGAACTCCTCTTCACTTTCTTCTTCACTGCTCTCCTCAGGTGCATACTTGGGTCTACAAATATTATGTACAAAACATATAATACAACTATACAGATATTTCAGTTTTGATACCAGGGCCTAACAAGTAATGAAATTGTGAATTATCTCCCTTAATTATAATTCTGTTTTAAACAGTTGAAACTTAGAAATGATCACCAATATGACATTCTCACTAGGTAAAGATCACTACCAAAATGATAAAAATGAAAACATTTGGAAGTGCAGTATATAAGTTTGGAATAAGACTTGAAACATTTGTAAGGAATTTCTGAAAAGATGTAAAGCTTAGACAGCATTATTCATCAATCTAATCAGTTGAATTTTTACCATAACAAGAACAAAACATTTAGTACTAAATGATCAAGCATTTCATTTCTCTTAACATAAAAATAAAAGTACTTCATCTACTGAAAAGCATGAGGTAAAGAATTTCAGAGTTTTGAATTCAACAAAATACATCACCACCACCTCACACATTCTTTGTTTACTATCAAATCTCATGGTAAAGATACAAACTGTTATTTCACTATGAAGACAATAAAAATTATGTCTGAGATAAGAAAAGTACACAAAATAGTCATAGAGATTTCATTAACAGGTGGCCTAAAACAGAAATAGATGTTTTTTGTCATGATCTGACAATTCATATCAGCTTAATAGTGTTTAAATAAAGTTTAAAGTAATCCTGTTTAGGCCTAAATGTGATGTATTAATAAATAATTAAATTAATTAATTAATATTTGGAAATGGATAATTCCAAAGTATTTCATGATTTCCTAGAAGGTATTTTTTAAATAAAAACCTTATAACAACATCAATTCTAGGTAACTAGATGACTGAACTAAAAAACAACAACAACAAAGAAATCACTCTAGGAGTGTTAGGGTTTGACATTAACACTAGCATGATGGCCTGGGAGAAGTAAAAAATGCATTCAGGCTACTTTCTGACATAACATATTATTAGCACAATGGGGCTAGTGGCTTAATATTGAGTATCAGTTTTAATTTTGACTTTTTTTTGATATACTTCCACATTTGATTTGTTTTTTGAGGATAGCAAGCACAGATTAAAGATCAACTCTATACAGCAAACATGAGGTCCCGAGTAGAATTCCCACGAGGCAGCAACTCTCATTTATAGAATTCACAAATAACTGAGTCTATAATAAGGAATTTCATTGTTGAACAAAATGTTCTCTTTTAGATGATTAACCAAAAATCATATAGCTAATACAATTAATACTATAATTAAATAATATCCTTTAATGAAGCCAAAACCCCTCACTGTGTGTTACTCTAAGTTGAAGCTTTCTTTAATTTGGATAAAAGAATAAAAATTACCACAATCTCTGGTACACATATTTAAGTGTTTAAAACATTTTGGCATAATAATTCAAAACTAGTAAGCACTGAAGTTCAACTGATGCATTACAACCAAGGAGAACACAGCGAGTCGGAATAGGGGGGCACAACTATGGCTATATAAATTATAGTTGAAAGTACAAATTTAAGGATAATGAAGACAAATATTACAGCTATTAAGTAATATAGTAACAGCAATTAACATGGGAAAATGGCATGTACAGTATATACATAAATAGATTAAGACTGGAAAGCTGCATCAGCATATTGGCTGCAAAAGGAACAAATAGAGGTTAAATCCATGCTTAAAAGTAAACAGAAAGAGAGGTTACTCAGCTGAAATTATGTGTATTTCAATCTCTTTATTCTTACTTTTCAGTGGGGAATTAATCTCTCATATACACAAATAGTTCTGCACTCAATTAGAGCAAACAAGCAAAATCTTCTACCTCTAGGCATAAGAAATCTAATACATTCTTTTCTTCTGGGTAGTAACTGTTGGCTGTTCCAAAATACTGCACTTCACTGTTTACAGGCAAGAATTTGAAACCCATAAATTACAAAACATGGTAGTTGCCCTTTACACCACTGGTTGTTACCCTCACCCCTGTACGCATGTATATATGTGCGCATAACCTGAAAAATAATAAACCAATTTACATGACATTTTTAAAGCAGATGAGGTGTCCACTAGGACAGTCCTCCCCAAATCTAGTCCTGATTCAGATCCACATCCAAATCACTTTGAAACATTTTTAAAATGGAGATATAGGGTATTTTCTCAGTTTATTGATAATAACTGTGTAAAAAATGATTGGATTAGGACCAAATTTTGGGCACACGTTGAATCCAAAAATTTGCAACAGGCTGAGGGTATTCACTCTCTCTCTGATTGCTCTTGTTTTACAAGTGTAACCAAGTTGACAGATGGTGCTGATCAGTCATCCCTAAAGCTGTTTAACATTTCATTCTCCCCACTTACCTAATTAAACTTCCACCGTATTTATTGTTTTATCTTTGTGGATGATGTATTTGTTATTTTACCAATAGCTAAAGAAGAGATACATATAATTCAGCATAAAATAGTCATTTATGCTGCTTACACATCACAAGCGCAACATTCAAACATTTATATTATTAGAAGCATTCAAAATCCCAGGCAATAATAACCCTCTCTTAATCACAGCACAGAGATGCATTAGATACAGTGAATCAGAAGCCCTAATTATCATATTACAATATTTATAAACCAATGATATGAGAAAAAATATGACTGTTGATTTGATGACTGAGATATCATGAGATTGTTTTTATATATTTGTCAACTTGTTAGCTTCAAGTTTTGGACACTAATGTACATTTACTAATTTGTCAAAGGTATGAATAAATGGGTGTTATATATTGGCTAAAAAACAATTTCATGTTTCTTCAAGTGATAGCTCAAAAGTAAAATAAACAGAAGAAACTGTTAAATGATGGTGATAATGAAGAACAACAAACTAGTGGTTCTGTAGCTGGACCAAGCATTTCCTCACTTTCCATTTCTACTGTTTCTGTTGGTAAACTGAACACAAAACTAAAATGCATAAATATTAGGAGGATTATTTTTGTTTCATTTACAGATTTGTTATTAAAGAGGTAAAACTGTAGTAGGTTATTTGTTCCAGATTTTAGCTAATTACAGCATGAAGCCAAATAAACTTACAAGGCATTTTGAAACAAAACACCTTAAGTATATGGATAAGGCCATCAAGTTCGTCAAGCGACAAGTGAAACAAATGAAAAGGCAAAGCAGTTTGTTTGAAAATCAGGTCACAGTTCAATCAAAAGCCTTGAAAGTGTCTTTAGAAGAATTTTATTTGATTGGGAAAAACCATGAAGCCACACACTATAATAGACACATTACTTATTCCTGCAGCCATAAACATGTGTAAGATCATGCACGGAGAGAGTTGTGGTAAGGTAATATCCTTTTATCACTTGACACTGTCATGAGCCATATAGATGTAATCTCTGCTGGCATAAAAATGCACTTGATAACATGTATCCACAACAATCCAAAATTTGCCACATAACTTGATTAAAGCACAGATATTTCAAACTTAGCCCATCTTCCGGTACTTGTATGATACTGTTATGAAGAGGAAGTATGTGTAAAGTTTCTGTTTTGCCAAACACTTGAAGGGAGAGCTACAGGAAAAGCCATCTTTTCTCTTGCTGATGAATTTTTCCTCACAAATAATCCTTCTTGGGTTAACTGTGTCGGAGTATGCACTAATGGAGTAGCTGCATTTATGAGAAACAAGAAAGGGTTCAGAGCCAAAGTAAGTGCTCTTGCTTCACACTTAACATTTACACATTACATCATCCACAGGGAAGCACTAGCCTCAAAGAAATTGTAGCCCAAACCAAAATGCTAAAGATCCTGTAAGTTTAGTGAGCTTTGTTTGTTTAATCAAGAACTTTGAACAGCAGGCTGTTTTCCATTCTTTGTGGAGAAATGGAATCCATGTATGACAAGATCTGCTGCATACAGAAGTGCGCTGGTTATTTCATGGGAAGGTACTTAGTTGCAACTGAAAAGAGGAACCTTTTTTTTTGTTAGACTGCAACCCCACACTAACAGTATATTTTATGGATAAAACATGGTTTCTATTACAGTGCTACCTGGCTGATATTTTCAATAAACTCAATGACCTTAACTTGTCACTGTAAGGTTGGAATAGCAACATTTTGCAGCTGAATGACTATGTGTCTCTGTTTCACAAAAAAAAACTTGTGTTGTGGAAAAACTAGTTTGAGAATGCAAACTGTAAAATGTTTCTTTGCCTAAATGAATTATTGGAAGAAAAAGAGTTAAGTCAGTCTTAATCGTGGCATTGTTTCTATTCATCTAGAAAAACTTCCGTGTCAATTTACATATCTATTCCAAGAATCAATGGGAGAATGTGGTATGATCCAGAATCCATTTAATGGTAGCATACTTCTTATCATACTTAGCATACTTCATGGCCCGGTGGATAAGTCACTCGACTCGCAATCCGAGGGTCGCGGGTTCGCGTCCTTGTCGCACCAAACATGCCCACTTGGGCGTGGGGCTAGCAACTCCACCCCGATAACAATCTGCTACAGAAACTGCAACAACACTTCCGTCGGCGAAGTGTTGTTGTAGCCCTATGTTCCACTAGGAACGACAGGAAATAATAATAAGAAGAAGATACTTCTTATCTACAAAAGGCAGCTCAAGAAAAGCTGATAGAATAATCTAGTAATAAAACTCTTCAGGCACAATTCAAGTGAAAAACCTCTTAGGAACTTCTGGATACTAGTTCCAGACCAATCAAGAAAGCAATAGATGTGCTTTTAACTTTAACATTAACATGCCTGTGGGAGTTAGCATTTTCTGCTCTGACAGCAATCAAAATAAAACTGATTTCATCTATAGGTAGAGGGTGGGATCTCACAGTTGTTGTGTCAACACTTCAGCCAAGAATCGACTTCATCTTATCCCATGCTCAAGTCTACCCTTCACACTAAATTGGCGAGTAAACTAAAACTGTTTGCCTTATGCTATGTACCATTTTAAGACTTGTTTTATTGTTACTAACAGAAATGCCACTATTCAAGTGGCTGTTTGTGCTAGTAATTACTAATTATGGTTACCAGTAATTATTCATAACTCATTGAAAAAATTTAGAGAAAGTGAACATTTTTTAAAAAAGGATTTTTTCTGGGAAGTATCACACAGGAAGTGTTCGGATTGTACTCTTTAGGTATACACAATTCATTGAATCAAAATGATTTAATGTACAGAGCTCAAAATTTTTATACATTTTACTGATATAAACTGTAATGTTTTTATATATTAAAAGTGGTACCATTTATAGAAAAAATAATCGTTTTTTTTAAGAACTCCAGTTTCTCAAAGCTACATTTAAAAATTACTTCAATAAAGATATAATCAAACTCTCATGTACAGTCCTAGTAAAAGTTGTATTCTTGTTGTGAGGAGAGTACTTTTATTTAAAATTATGTTCTATGATAAATAAATTATTGTTGCACATACCATAGTTATTTTTCCAATTGTCTAGACCTTGAATACCGAAAGTGTGAAATATTTTATGGATTTTTGTTTATGATGCCATTCAATAGATGGCACAGGAGTTTTGGTTACATTCATAGATACTGACATACATACTACGTCCATTATGGTAAGAAGAAGTCGCAACAAAATGCATGTTTAGAAAGAGGGATACCATAAAAAAAGTTTGCACACTATTGTGTTACAATACCAATAAAATTTTAAGCATTATAATTCAGAAATATTAAACAATGAAATTCCACTATTAGTTTTTAATACTTTAAAATATCAATCTCTTCATGATCACTTCTAGATTGGTCTTTAATAATATAAAATGTACACGCATTGTTACTGCCTTAATATTAAACCTAGATTACTTGTCATGACTAGGACTCAATTTTAATGATTGATTTTTGCAACATTGGCTACAAAACTATTTTAAGCTGCACAATTTTACAACACAACAGTATCTCAAAAAGTGATGCATCACAGCCACACAGCTTTCTCAAATTCAGAGTAGTCAGTGTTTTTATCCTAGTTACATAAAATATACTTTTTAAAGTTATACAAAATATGCCACAAACTATGGTGAAGCACACTAGTTTTTACAGAAAATGCATATGATAAATGCATGGAAATAAGCAGATAAATAATGTAAATTTGTATATTATACTAACCATCTAAACCCTAACTCATCAGAATATTTCAAATGTTTTATTAAAGATATCAAAAGTTTGAGAAAATATTAAAATTTAGTAAACTGTTTCATATCTAAGTAATAACCATAGAGCTAGATGATTATTGGAATTTGAGAACGATTAATCACTGGGTTCATGAATTGATTATGTTAATTAATCAAATATTCTCACATGAGACTTAGACAATTGGAATAAATGAAAATAGTGATGATTGAAAATGCTAATTTTGATTACCTTCATGAGTCATGATACTAACTGATTAAGACAAAGTTGAATTAACTGAAAATATTAATGAAAAATCATAATGACGATAATTCTATTCCTTGAATTATTGTAATAACTGAAATTAGTACTAGTTGGAAACACTAATTTCTATTAGTTGATCATTTTCATGACATTAATTGATTTAATCACAATTTGGATTATTTTACAATAAATTAATGTAATTGATGCTCATAGATAATCAATTATGTCAAGTAATTTAGATGATTACCCAACTATATCTAGCCAAAAAGAAATAACATTCATTAATCAAATTTTGCAGGTAAAAAAATAACAGAAAAATAAATACCTTATTAAATACTTAAAAACTATATGTAAGATTCAATAAGTAAATTAAAATGGTTATCATACTGTATTATAATAGTTTTTAATATTTTCAATTTCATGTTTCAACAACATAAAAAATTAAACTGAGTTTCTTGTCTACCTATTTAATGAATTTTTTAAAGTAGAACAAGAAATATGAAAAAATGTATATTTGCTAGAGCTTAAATATTTTGAGATATTTACAGCACTATAATATAATATTCTGTCACCATAAGTTGGGCTCCAAAACAGAAGTAGTCAAAACTAATTCTGGAAATTTTTACACAAAGATTTAGTTAGGCCTATGGTAATGTAATTTTCTACAGAAATATAACAATTTTCATGAGAATATGAATAATATAGGATAATTCCCAAAATGGAATGTACATTCTCAAAACTAACTTTCATACCCTGGTATTTAGTAGCATTATACATGTACCACAATTGTAAAAACTTCTGTATATTTATTTGTTTGTGAGTTTTGAAACGGGCTAGTTAAACTGCTTAATTACTGTTTTGGGGGATCAGTGACAAAAGAAAATTAATTTCAATCTAAACTGTACAACATATAACTCTAATTCAATAAAAGAATTATAATGAAAAACTAATTTTCCATTTTGTAACTAAGAAACTTTTTAATCTGTAATCCCTTATTGACATTTGTAAGTTTCAAGAAAAGATATGTAAACAAACCTTCTGCCAGATACATAACGATGAACTTTCACCTTTTGCATAGACACTTCCCCTGAAAAAATATTAAATAAAGAATGATCACAAAAACACAATTATGCATGGTCACTGTAATCTAATTAAATAGAATATCAATTCTAATCTCAAAAATGAAATTGAATATAGTGGACTTAAGAAATACACCAAATCATGCACACTTATTATTACTACAAGCAGCTTATTTCCCAGACAGGAAGCCTGGAGGGGTCACCTGTTTTACCTACTCACACCACTATACAGTCTGTCAGTCAATAGACACTAAAATAACATCATATAAGGTTCACTTAACATGGCAATTTGAACTTTCATGATGTCAATAAAAGTTACACTCTGTAGGCTACAACACAACATGACATATGAACTTCAAAATCAAAATATTTGTTACTCTTGAAACAGAACACTTTTGGGGACCCTACAGAAGTAATATAGTATAAATACAGCACAATTTACAACTGTTAAATGAACAATTACTGTTTAGGTCTAAATTTCAGCATTCTGATGCATCACTCAAATTGGTAGGCATAATACCATCACTGTGTTGTCATCTATTGACATTTTTACTTATAAACTGACTTGTGTCATTTCCTTTTATTGGTGTTTGAATATACCAGATCCAAGTATGGAGTCAGCAAGTTCTACTTACTATAGGAACCTTAACAAGATAGCCAAACAATGATATTATCTTAAGTTAACTACTGCAAATAGTCATGATCCAGTTCCTGATCCCTATGTTGTGACAAAATGCAAGATTTCTTTAGTAAATTTTAACAAAAGAAATTAATTTATAATACCAGAAGGTAGTCTTGTAAAGGAACATGTTTTATCCTGTATTTGTCAGCCTGTAATACAAGTTATAATGTGCATGACTGCATCTTTTTGGAAGTTCAAAGTAACACATTAAGAGCCTATGCATGGGTTGATTCTTCTACTACTATTACTACTACTCAGTACTAGAACTATAAGTTATAGGTCTACAAGGTATGAGCACAAGTTCACTGGCCTAGATATTATTTTCTGTTTGTTTGTTTTGAATTTTGTGCAAAGCTACACGAGGGCTATCTGTGCTAGCCATCCCTAATTTAGAAGTGTAAGACTAGAGGGAAGGCAGCTAGTCATCACCACCCAGCACCAACTCTTGGGCTACTCTTTTACCAATGAATAATGGGATTGACCATCACTTTATAATGCCCCCATGGCTGAAAGGGCAAGCATGTTTGGTGTGATGGGGATTCGAACCTGCGACTGGCAGATTGTGAGTCGAGCGCCCTAACCAACTGGCCATGCCGGGCCTATTATTTTCTAGCATTGATTAGCAATGACAATAATTCAGAGATTAAATGGATGGAAAAACTAATTTAACTAAAAATTTTATTGGGCAATGTTTCAAGAAAATTATCTTTGCTTTCCAAGTCTTCGATTTTGGGACCGAGGTAACTAAGTTGCAATAAAAATTAAAATATTCCAAGTAATATAAAAAATTATAACTAAAACTCTCTTCCCATATATTATTTCTCCATTTTTTATCAGATGTGTATTATCTTATCGATCTAACTTTCATTTTTAAGCCATTAATTACTAGCGTTACTGCATGGGGCCTAGTAGTAGTAGTAGTAATCACTGATATTATATTATACTCAATGATACTCAGCCACAAATTTAAAATTTAAACTAACCTTTTTCATTAATAATGGGTATAGCTCCTGCCGTAGACTGGATCATTACTCCAACTGTACTTGCTCCTGCCATGTCTGAAACTGTTTAAATTGACCTCAATAAGATATTTTCATGTGTTACTTTTTATATTTTGTAAACAATAATATTAGGATTTTAAGTTCTATAACTAGCCCTAGCCTGTACATCAAAAACGTTTACTACTAATCTTAGACTCTCAGTATAATCTTTACTACTGTCCCCTGGTGGCGTACTTAATATTGTAAAATTTCTAACACGTAAAAAAAATTAGCTAATTAGAAAAGAGTAAGTTTAATACGTTGACTAATCCGTATTGCAATGTTGTATCTGTAAATTTAATTTCTTATTTACTATGATTTTTGAAGGTTAAATGTAATGCTCAAATATTTTCAGTTGTTGTCTTTCATAAAGTTGTCTATTGTTTTTATAACATAACATAATGTCAGGGAACAACATGGGACCTATTGGTCCATCTCGGCTGTTCCATCCTCTAAACTAAATTAAAATAATTAAAAAAACATCAAGCTTTTTATTAAACTCACTTAAATTTACTGCCTCTAAAACATCTGAAATCCAACCCATTACAAAAGCCAACCACAGAAAAATGAAACTGTCTTAGCTGAAGATGACTCCTACCTTGTCAAAATTCATATCTGTGTCCCCTTGTCCTACTATTCTCACTATTAAATATGAAAAAACGATGATACATCAACACTATCAATTTCCTTTACAATCTTAAACCCGTCAATCAGATCCCCCTAACTCTTCTTTTTTCGAGAGAAAACAATTTGAGAGATTTCAGCCTCTCCTCGTTTGACAACCCTTCCATTCCAGGCACCATTCTAATAACCGTTCTCTGAACCCTTTCCAAAATTCAATGTTTTTCTTAAGGTAACGAGCCGAAGACTAAACACAATATTCCAAATGTGGCCTAACCAGTGACATGTACAATGAAATTATAACCTATTTAGACTTTTATTCAACATTTCTGCAAATACAATCTAAAATTCTATTTGCCTTTAGAGACTGATCGACTATTACACCAAGATCCCTTTCCTTCATAACATTATTAAGGTTATTTCCATCCAAATTATACTTACAATTCAAATTATGATAACCAACATGCATTATTTTGCATTTATTATAATTAAAACCCATCTGCCATTTATTTGCCCAAACTCTACTAAATGAATCTAAATCCTTTTGTAAATTAGCAGCATCCTCTTCACAGTTAGCAACATCCAAAACCTTAATA